CATTATGTATATCATTATTGGTTAGATGCTTTCTTTTGTTTGTGTAACTTCATTTTCATAAATCATACTGGAGTATTCAAGAGTGTTAACACATGTATATGTAGAGAATGAGAGACAGTATGTCTGTCCCTTTGAACTTATCAGAGCCGTTGAAGATTATTCATGTGTATGTTATATATATAACTGAGACAATGGCAATATATATATATATATATATATATATATATATATATATATATATATATATATATATATATATATATATATATATATTGCATCACTTCTCCACAAGAACAAGTCTATATGTCAGAACTGATTGCTACTATCCGAGTACAAATTCTTGCAAAGAGTTGACTCTGAATGGTTAGCTAGGTAGCTGCATTTCTTCTCCAAATACATATGTTATTACACAAAACATGCAATATTATATATCTTGGTTGTTATTCTTCCTCCGTCATCGTAATCTAATAAGCTACTAATTTGTAATCAGGTTGGTGAAATTAAATGATGACCATTAGGTGGGTATAATTGAATGCAGTGTGCATGCTGATTATGTGATAGCAGGAGGGTAGACAAGCATTAGGGCTTGTTCAAAGAGCAGTTTGGCTCTTCGAGGGAAACAGGGATGAATTCTCAAATACAATATATAGATTCAGTTACTCTTTTGTATACAGAAGGTGTGAATAGTGTTAAGTGCCATGAAGCATGACAATACAATTTTCATGCCGATTTTGTTTTTTAAGGAAAAAAATATGTCCTTGCTACCAACCACAACCAGCTGATCTTTGTTCGCAAGATATTTCAAAAGCTGAGTCAAAAGTTAAAGGGCATACACAGCCAGGTACTCCCTTCATTCTGGTTTATAAGGTTGCACACGCAGTTTGAGATTTAACTTTTATCATAAATTACACCAATAACATATGAGTCATGTGAAACCAAAATCATACCAAAATTTCTTGACAATACAAGTCTAGTGATGTAAGTTTTGTGGCCATAACCTACATTCATTGGTCATATATGGTCAAACATGATTCTTGAAATGTGTGTGCTGGTCGGCCCCTCTTGTCGTAATCCTTGATAGATTATTAGTCACAAAACTTCAATATTAATTATATAGCAACACTTAAATTAAGACATGTAATTTGGTAAATATTAAACTCAAAGTATTTATTTTCTTTGATCAACAAATAAAGCACCTCACATATGCACGGAATAGTTATGGAAAACATTTGGCAATATATATTACATTGAACAAATATCTATGTGACTGAACGTGATAACGAGTTTAAGACTCATATATATTCATTACGTATTTCTATTCAGCACTCATATGTGGGATATTCATGTAAGTTCATTTTGCCGATCTAGCTAGCGAAAAGCAAGATATAAGAACATATATACATTGTAAAATCTATTATAGAGCTGCCCATGTGCAAGCCAAGCTGTTTTATTTTGTTGCCCGCTTAATGACCTGATTAATTATCTACCTGAGTTTTATAATAAGATATCATTCTCGATGGTGATAAACAATTCGACGTGGGTTGATCAGCTTCAAGAAGTACCTGAGCTTTACTTTTAATTGTTTAATCAAGGACGCTTTCATGAACTTTGGGCTACCACGAAAGCTTGCTAGCAGAAACGTACACATGTTTCTTTTGAATGGTTCTTGTGTGGTCGGCACTTGTAGTAGTATTTTACTCTATGTTGTGGTTGTCGACTAATTTCCAAGGATCAAGCTATCTAGCTGTGACAAGAAATTCCTTGTTGATTGATATATGGTTGCTACTTTATGGTGAAACTTCTCCTATTGACCATATTAAAAAAAAATTGACTCTAATTATAAATCTTTATTGAATCATGCCGCTCTTCCACTCTAATTCTGAATATAAAATTTTAATGTTGTACATATGGGTCAATCAGTAGACTTATACGTAAAGAAAACTCAAAATGTTACCTCTGCTGAATCGAGCAAACGGCAAACTATGCAGCTAATGCTATTGCCCTTCCGGCATGGCCACCAGCCTCCGTCTTAGCTTAAACATTTTGTCCACAAATTCAACATAGTATCCCCACATTTCAAGATTTAGTTTAGTTCAACCAATAAACATTCAATATCCGACATGGTTGAATTTGCTCTCAGATATGAACCCATTTATGCAAATACTAGTTATGCTCTTGACTCAACATGGATGTCGTCCTAGTCTTCACACTAGGGCAGCGAGCTAAGATATGTTCTTGCTTACGGAGATGTTTTCTTCTTTTTATAGCAATACATTTTTCACGGGTGCTTTCTCGAGATTTTTAATGTATTTGTGAGGTTGTGTGCATCTCAATGCAGAGGTTGGAAACTTGATTTTTCTTTTTTTGTATTCGGAACTAAATACTTTTGTGAAGAACTAATAAAATATGTGCTACTTACAGGTTTAATTTGACTTCCATTCGAGCATATATACACTCTACTAGCAGGCTATCCGTTTGGAGCTGACAAGATAAGTTCGGTGGACCAAAGGATATGCACATGATCAGCGGACACGGCAACTGATAAGGACTCCAACAACATGAGGCAATACATATGTACGGAACATGGCGACGTCAACCAGTTGCTACTAATAAAAAAAGAAAAAATGCTACATTCTACGGATGGGCTACAAAAATTGAGCTAATCTTCCCCATCTCCACTACTCAAATTAACTCAATCGTTATAAAATCACAATCATACGGAAAAGTGCAATTGAATAAAAATCTAATAGTGTCTATATGTATGTAAAATAAACAGCGTATCTTTGAAGTAATTATTGGTTAAAGTGTATATTTGGACAATCAAACTACACTTTATATTTTAGGGGTTTCCATCTCATATTTTAGAGGTCCCATCTCTTCACACACAACTGCTCCTACTCCCTTTCCACAATTCACATCCCTCGGCCTCTCCTGGCGTAGCAACTACAACCCGCCTCATATGCCCCGATTTTGGCTCCTTTTACCCCATGCACTCCAATCCCTATAACCCTATACCTCATTTACGCCCTCGTCTTTACCGGGATTGTTGCATGTCGCCATTTACCTATGCATCATCACTGGCTCTTGCTTGCCCCTAGCGAATGCCGAATAGGAAGAAGGTAATTTTTTTTAAGAAAACTGAGTATGAAAATTTTACTAAAAAAATTGATTGACTTGGTCATTAGAATCAATTAGCTGACGTGGCTACCAGATTTCGGTCACATCATTTCAAACTTTCTTTCAAACTTTTTAAAATAGTCTCATGAGTTTAGGGGTAGTTGGGACGGTAAAATTGACTTCGTACATATTCGTATATTTGCAGTTGGAGTCACTTGGTTTAGTTAGACTTTCACCATGACTATAGACCTGCTCGAACATCCCGGCCATGTA